AGTATGGCGTTTCCTTAAAAAACTGAAAATAGAAATACCATTTGACCCAGCAATTCCATTACTAGGAATATATCCTAAAGAAGTGAGAGGCAGGACGTGAACAGACATATGCACACCTATGTTCATCGCAGCATAATTCACTATAGCAAAGAGATGGAAACAACCTAAATCCCATCAACAGATAAGTAGATAATCAAATTATGATACATTCACACAATGGAATACTATGCTACATTAAAGAACAATGAAGGATATGTAAATCATCTCACAATGTGGAAGAGCCTGGAGGACATTATGCTGAGTGAAATAAGTCAGTCGCAGAAGGACAAATGTTATATGAGCCCAATACTGTAAAAAGACAAGGAATGGTTTGCTTAAGGAAGGGAACTCACTTTGTAGGTTACTGAGGTGAGGAGGGAATAATTTCAGGCTAGTTGGGGGCCACATGCTGAGGTGGGTAAGGGGAGGGATGGTATGGAAAGAATCAGTGATGATAACACTGGCGAAAGGGAGGACACCAAATAGTGCACACAAGATATAGATGACAGAGGCCAAAAACAGTATATCTACAATACTGCATTACCATTAACACCAAACACCAGGCTACAGGTAAAAACATGTTGTTGTTGTTATGTGCCATTGAGTTTGACCTGACTTATAGCGACCCCTCCTTGGGTTTCTGAGGCAGTATCATTACAGAAGTAGATTGCCCAATCTTCCTTCCGAGGAGTGGCTGGTAAACATCTGAAAAGATCAGATGGGGGGTCAGTGAACATGATTATACTCTAGACCAAGGACAGATTCAGCTGAGGCTAATCTTGCACAGATACCAGTGATACAAAATATCTGCAATCCTTATGGAAACAGAAGACAGACATAGAGCAATCCCTCACAGCCAGCCAGACACTGTGGAAGGGAGATCCAATGGATCTACCAACTCAGACCACAGTATTGGGGGGCACCAGACTCAATTGGCACAACAAAATACATAAAAATCTTGTTCCACAACCTACATTGGTGAGTAGCGACTGGGGTCTTAAAACCCTTTGAGCAGACATCTAAGATGTAGCTAATGGTCTCCTATTGTCAGAAGCAAAAAGTGCAAAAAACTGAGGGCATTTGGGAGCAATCAGCCCTAGGACATGATGGACCTCGAGACCACAAGAACTAGATGCTGCCCAGCTACCATGCCAACCACTCAGGAAGGGATCAAGTCTGGAGATCCTGGATAGAGGGGGAGGGAAAACCTGGAACAAAATCCAAAACCACAATAATGACCAGAACTACTGGTTTGATGGAGTCGGGGGAACCCCCAATACTATAGCCCTGGGATACACTTCAGGCCTGGAATAAAACTCACTCCCAGGGGCTGGCTCTCAGGTCAATAGTAAACAAGATGTACATACAGACCACTCAACCCAGGGTGATACACCCACATACTCTATGGAGATGCATCCCTTGGAGCAATCGACCACAGGGCTCCAGAGGGGCAGTATTCACATGGAAGAAATGCAGGACACACAGGAGTGCATAACTATGAGGGGCACGAGGGGAGGGGGTACTGGAAAGGGAGGGGAGGAAAGTGGGTTAGGGTTGGGGATGTTAATTGGGGAGTGAAAACAAACGTACATGAAATGTTGAATGTAAAATAAACCCTGCTCTGTAAATTTGCACCTAAAGCACAATAAAAAAAAAAAAAAATCAAATGACTGCAAAATAACTTTAAATAATTTAATGATGTTTATTATTTTTGTGGCATTTCTACACCTGAAGTTATTAAAGCTTAAATATGCACTAAGACTTTTGGGATACCTACAATTACTATAATAAAGGCTCGATTATAGGGTTGGATAAGCAGAGGAGAGAGCAACTGATTCCATTAAAAAAAAAAATCAGTGTGAAGGTTTCATGAAAACCTGGCTTGCTAAGCATAATAAGTCCATTGCAAAAAGACAAATACTGAATGATCTCATTTAGATGAAATAAGCAAATATATAGAAACTGGAGATTTTTAGTGGCTATAAGAGATGGGAACTCTGGTAGCGTAGTGCTTAAAGAACTTGACTGCTAACCAGAAGGCTGGCATTTCAAACCCACCAGCCACTCCTCAGAAGGAAGGTTGGGCAATCTACTTCCATAGTGATACCGCCTCGGAAACCCAAGGAGGGGTCGCTGTGAGTCAGGTCCGACTCAATGGCACATAACAACAACAACAACAAAGGGATGGGATGGAGGAGGAAAAGAAGGAGTTTTTGCTAGGAGGCATGATGTTAATGGTGGTAGAATGATTTAGAAAAGGATAGAGAAAATGTTTGTACAACTTTAAGAATATAATCAATGTCAGTGGGTTTCACGTGTCGAAATGGTTGAGATGCTGTGTTTTGTATGTATATTTTCAACACACACACACACACACAAATCACTTGGGGAGTGGGTAAAATGTAGATTCCCAAGTATCATTCATAGAAATTCGCATTCAGTAGATCCAGAGTTGGGCTGCCCTACCACCAAATGATTTCTCTGAACCACACTTGATCTATTTTATAGGAAATCAAGTGATAGAGAAACACTGAACCAAACCAAACCAATGATCACACACACAGAATTTATAAATCAATAAAACGACTTAAAAGCAATATCTGCTGGCTCACTGTAAACAGTTCTTTGTCAGATTCTCAGAACTATATGCTTCAATTACATGCTCCTCCAATTTACTGACAGATTTTTTTCTATCAGTAAATTTCTTTACTTAATAGCTTGTTGGTGTTGTTGTTATGTGCCGTCGAATCAGCCCTGGCTCATAGCGACCCCTCCTTGGGTTGCCAAGGCAGTATCACTACAGAAGTAGATCGCCCAACCTTCCTTCTGAGGAGTGGCTTGAAATAATTGCTTCTGTTTCTTTGCATCTCTACCTTCTTTCAGTCCAGATCAACCTGTTCATTACTGAAAGCCAGAGGCTTTCACAAATGAGTAGGACACACATATTTAAAAAACTAAACCACACAACATGGAGAGTCTATATTAACCTGACACATTGTATTTGGAAGAAATCACAGAAGCTAAATGACTATGTCTTATTTTTTTTTAAGCTATAATTCTATGGAGCTCAATTTATCATGTGAAAAACTTAAACAGCCCTAAGTACTTTGGAGAAATCATTTTATTAGTATGTTACATGATTACCATCAAAATGTGATTTTAAAATATTTGCTTAAGTATAGGTTTTAATAAGACTTGGGGCCAAATCTTTTCCTAAAAGATCAAACCCCAAGTTTTAAAAAGAAAATAACACTGATTATGGAGAAATCTACATTTGAGGAACCTATTTATGCTATGGAAAGGTACACTTGTGATGTTCTAGTTATTTTTAGGCAAGTGTTAAAATTAGATTTTTGAAACTAGATTTAGAGCTATGCCACTATACACTCTCAGGAATTCTCTTCAGTAGCTCAAGCTGTCTTTTACTGTACATATAAAAAAAAATTGCACTTCTTCTCTCCTCTTTTCCATATAAAGCTTCTACAAACTGTGTGATGCATTATTTAAATGGGCAAATTCTTAATTGTTGTTGTTATGTGCCATCGAGTCGGACTCAACTCATAGTGACCCCTCCTTGGGTTTCCAAGGCAGTATCACTATGGAAGTAGATTGCCCAACCTTCCTTCCGAGGAATGGCTAGTAGGTTTGAACTGCCACCCTTCTGGTTAGCTTGTTGTTGTTGTTGTTATGTGTGGTTGAGTTGGACCCAAATCATTCTGGTTAGCAGTCAAGTAATATTCATAAAATGAGCAATTTTTCTTTAATTTTTAACACCTTTCTTTTTAGGAAAGTAAATATGCACAGACACAGCCTCCCATAGATGAGCTATACACCTACACAGGATCATACTCAATTATGTTTTCTATGAAACAACAATGTATTTGCTATGCTGAGCAGAATACACAGAAAAGTCTCCTTTCCTACATGTTACTATTGACATTTTGTCAACAAGTTTTAAACATCTGGGGTCAAAATGCTCAGTATAAGTAATATTTCTCATCAACTGTATATTATAGTCTTAAGAACATTACAGAGGTTATTAATATTAAATACACAATAATGAAAAGGGGTAGTATATTCTATGTTTCTAATGATACATACAATTATATTTCATAGAACTTTATAATTGTAATACTGTAAATTTACATCTGTCTCATTTTAGTGTATGCTTATTATAGCATACTTTTGCAAATGATATACTATTGTTTTTCTTGGAAGTAATATTTAACTTTCACAAGGAACATTTTACATATTCTGCTATTTTAAGCTATCAAAATATCTTTAGATGCCTAAGTGATTTATTCGTATAATAAGTTAGTGTTATACTGCTACTTATTCATTCATTCACTCATTGAAGTCATTAATCAGTTCACCAAAACACTTTTATGGTATTATAGAAGACTTGGCATCTTCTAAATGCTATTCACTATCTAGCACTATTGCATAATTAAAGATAACAGAAGATTCCATAAGAAAGGAGATAAATTCTAACTTAATAACTCTGGAATTACTTTCTGGAAGAGATAATATTTTAGCTGGCTTTAAATGGCTTTGAAATCTGGAAATTGGGGGCTGGAGGAAAAGAACATTTCAGGTTGTGTGAACACATTAACAAAGGGACAGTCAATAAAGAGTAAGCAGACTGATTAGACCAGAGAATTAAGATATCTGGGGAGGAAAAGCAGTGGGTAACAGAAAAGGAAAAATAAGACAAGGTCATATTGTGGTAAGCTACCAATGCTAGGATGAAGAAGATTTTTGTTTCTGTTTTAAAGGGAATTACATTTTTACTTTTTATAACAATCTAATTTGTATTTTGATGCTCCTTTCTACCAGGGTGACAAAAACTTAAATCAACTGACTATTGCTCTTGACTTACCTTGGGGAGACGTTGAAGTCAGGGTAGCTTACCTAGTGCCACGGTGCTATATAGGAATGTGAGTTGTGTGTGTGTGTGTGTGGGGCAGCAGCTGACACGCTGGTGCAGCTAACAACCACAACAGTCTTATCTTGTTCTTTTCCCCATGGCCCCTTAAGTTACAAGAGTAACTTTTGTCTTGTGTTTCAAGTATAGGAATCTGCAAAGCTGTGTATCTTCCAAGACATACCAAGCAGATGTTTTATGTCTAAGGAGGAAGGAGGAGTATGAACTTTGCGCTGATACAAGGGGAGTTTTAACACATGTTTTAATATGGGAAGTTAGGGACCTATTTCATGTTTTATTAAGATGATGGAGAAGAGGTTGTGGATTTGAAAGGAAGAAAAACGAAGTAAGAAAATCAGTTGGAATACTCTTTCACTAGAAAATATGTTAAGTAATCAGAGCTTGACTGAGGTTATATTGTTGAAAGGGAAGATGAAGGTGGCTCGATGACATACTGGTAGCCAGAAATGACAGAATTCTTGTGACTGATTGGTTAGATACAGAGAATAATGGGGAGGAAAGAGTTAAACATTACTTTATGATTTCAAGCCTGAGCAGATGGATGAATGACATAATAGAGATGGCAGGAGAGAATTTGGGGAGATTAAAATAATTACATATTGGCCATGTGAAATTAGAAGTGGCTGGGAGATAGGACATATTATATAAACTGACTGGCACATAGTTGAAAAAAAAAATGAATTGAAACTAAAATAGAGCCAGACAGGGAAGGTATGTTAAATAGGTAGAGAAAAAATAAATAAATAAATAAAGTAGAACATATACAGTGAGAAGAGAGTGGAGGACAGACCCTCAGACAATGCTTAATTTTTGAAGTCAGATAGAGGAAGAGTCAGTTATATGGCCAGGAGTAAATGGAGAAAGTGGTTA